TATGATTGTGTGACTATTTTGCTAATGGTTCTGTGGTCTTGTATAAGAGTGGAATGTAAACTTCCCCCATACAACTAGTCTCCTTACAAAGGGTGACAGGAAACCTGTTACTAGAAATTTAAGTAATGGTAGTAATAAATGACCTATAATAGGAAAAAGTAATCTATTTTTGTATTGATGGGCAAAGAGTTTACATTATCCTAAGAGTTTACTTCTTTCTCTCCAAGAAATTTATTTCTGTAACCAAGTAGGGCACCATCCAACAATTCTGTTTTGGAAAAAATAACTAGTGCTTACAAAGCTTGCTATGTATCAGGTTCTGTTATTTATGAAACAATTCATTTAAACCTTGACATTCCTATGAGCAAGATACATATATCACATTTAACAGATAAGGAGACAGCACAAAGTTGTAGAGCTAAGACTGGGAAGTGTGGTTACTACAGCAGTTGAAAGTGCTAACCTTGCCAATGTAGTTCCCCCTTTCGAACCTCCTTGAAAGTTGTGATGCCCAGCAGCACTGCTGCTGCAGTGACTTGGTAGCAGTAGTTACTAAGGTTTAAGAATGGCAATCTTGGAATAAAATACTTTACCAGGCACCCAATATTTTATAATTGATTTGTCAAATTTACTCCCAAACCTCCCTCTCCTTTTATTTTTTAAACTAGTGGCCTGGTGCATGAAATTCGTGCGGGGGGGGGGGTTGAGGGGGGCGGGTTGTCCCTCAGCCTGGCCTGCACCCTCTCCAATCTGGGAACCATGAGTGATTGGGCTGTATCTGGGTTCTCTCCAAGCCCATTGTCTGACGTGTATGCCATTCTATGATGTTTATACAAGCCTTGTAAACACCTTTTAGTATCTGGAATGACTAGTTGTCATCATCTTATTTTTCAAGGTTTTCCTGTCATAGGTCATTTATTGATTTCAAGGACATCCCTCACAATCCAGGACCGCTGGCTCCTAACTTGGGAGTGCCAGTGGGTCTTTCTTTTCTTAATTTTTTTTAAGGGCAAAAGTCTATGATTTTTAAAAATATATTTTACTGATTTTTTTACAGAGAGAAAGGGAAAGGGATAGAGAGTTAGAAACATCGATGAGAGAAACATCAATTCAGCTGCCTCCTGCACACTTCCTACCGAGGATGTGCCCGCAACCAAGGTATATGCCCTTGACCGGAATCGCACCTGGGACCCTTCAGTCTGCAGGCTGATGCTCTATCCACTGAGCCAAACCAGTCAGGGCAAAAGTCTATGATTTTTAATTAAACCTGAAAAACTGTCAGGGATAGGAATGACAGGACCCATCCTAGGTGGGTGGGATGGTGGGGAGTGGGGAACATTGTTGACACAGTTGTCAGAATTAAATGAGGTCTGTGGATTGAACCTTAATACCATTTGAATGGAGATTTCTTCACGTGGTTGGGTAGAGAATTGTTATGTAGGAGTGTCTGCTTTTGGCAAATACACGGGTGTATCCGGGCATCCTGTCATGTGTAGAGCATGCTCTCAAACAGTTCAGAAAAAGACTGGAGGGAATGGGCATATGTGTGTATAAATGCACACACACACAGTCTAACCTTACTATTTTCGACTCCACCTTTGTGCACCTGCCTACTTGCTAAGGTCTGTAACTCCAGAATCAAGGCTTGCAGAGCTTCCTCAGCCATTGGGCCATGGCCAGGGTGCAGGAACCCTACAGACAGACCCGCAGGCACAGTTCCAGCTGAGGACAACAGGTGCCACTGTTTTCTTGTTTCCGCTCCAGTATGTGAACTGGGGTCTGTTTCACGACGTGTTCCCTGGGGGCTTTGGCATTTCTGTGCTTCCTGGTGGTGTAAGGCTGTGTGGGATGGCCAAGTTGGTGCTCCAGTGGCTGCCGGTTCCCTGAGCCCAAGAAGACTGCAGTAAAATATGGAGAAAAGATTGCATCGTAAGCAAGTTCAGGCTGCCCCATTTCAACCTTAAGGAATCAACAGCACCCTTCACATACAGTGTCATTTCAACAGAAACAGAGAGCGCTGCCCCAAGCACGCACAGTGCTGGCTCACGGGCCCACAGACTAGCAGGATGGCCACTTGTGGGTGATGTTGTGAAGTCCTGATTCTGAGGTAACGCCCAGGGTGAGTCCAACTGCCACGGCCATGTCCTGGCCCACGTCTGGGCCTATGCCCCATAGTGAAGCCTGTGGTTGGGCACTGACAGGCAGCTTGAGGAACTGACATAGCCATGTCAGTACTGCCGCAGTTTATGCACATTTAAACCATCCAAGTTCTTCTGGAAAGGGCTTTTTCTCCCACTCTGGACAGCCACGCTCTCCTGGCGGCGCCCGAGGACCTGGGGCCTACCTGGCACCCCAGCCTTGCTGACCCTGTGGGCCAGTGTCCTAACAGCTGCGGCCCTCCGCGCAGCCCGCCGGTGCCGTCCAACACGGTCTGTCCATCTGCATGGCCCACGAGGCTGTCCGGCCACACGCACTTGGGCTGCTCCCGCCCAGATTCCGCTTTCCCATGCCTGGCGGTGGGCCCAGTGTGCCTGTGCAGAGCTCCCACCCAAACTCCGCTTGCCCGTGTCTGGCGGTGGGTCCAGTGCACATGCACGGAGCTCCCGCACAGACTCGGCTTTCCCACGGCTGGTGGTGGGCCCAGTGCACATGCGTGGAGCTCCCACCCAGACTCCGCTTTCCCACACCTGTCGGTGGGTCCAGTGTGCCTGCACAGAGCTCCCGCCAGGACCAGTCATCTGTCTGGTCGTGACGGTCCTAGTCTGTTATTAGTATAGATTATAAAAATAATGTATGTTTATTGGAAGGGAAAATATAGAAATACCAACACTTTGGATCATCCATCTTCATACTTGGTAATAACTACAAACATTTTCATATTTTTATGCATATGCACTGTAAGAAATAAAAGTGGGATTCTATTTGATCTATTTTTACTTAATGTTTAGTGAGCCTTTTTTCCATCTTACAGTTTTTGACAATTTTTGGATAGCCATGTAATATTATGATTTTATTTTTTTGTATTTGTTTTCTTTTTTCACCAATCTTTAGATGTTGAGGTCATTTGTAATGTTTTATTATTGTTAGTTACACTACAGGGATTATTCTTGTTGATAAATTTTTGCACAGATGCAGGTCTTATTTCCTGGGAGTGGAATTGCTGGGTCAAAGGATATGTACTTTTAAAAATTATTAATAATTGCAAATTGACTTTAAAACTTTTTAAAACTTAAGCTACTGAAGGTTTTACCTTTGGTTCTCCTTGAGAGTTGTTGAATGCTTGTTAACTCTTATTAGTTTAATATTTATGTTTGTCTTAGAAAAAGTTACTATGTTTTAAATAGTGTTTATTGTGTCGGACCAGCACAGCCAAGGATTCAGTGAGCCTGATGGGGGGTGGAGGAGGGTGGTGAAGGATTAAAGAAAAGACAAAGAAAATAGCTGGGCTCAGTGAGTCTCTTGTGCCTGGCTGAGGCCACAGAGAAGGATCCAGCCAGTAAGCTGAGGCTTTATTTTATAGTCAGAGTAAAACAAGGTAGTGGTCACCAAGGTTACAATGTTCTTATGAGTTTCACTTGTTTTGGCAGCACTTGCTGCATCTCCCACAGCCCATTAGCTACCCAGGAAGGATCTGGGGGATGGCCATAAGGTCAAGCTTAATTGTGCTAAGAGGGCTCTTCCCTCTAAGCTGGGACGTGTTTGTGGCTCTGCCACAGGTCAATCTGAGCCTTAATTCTATAGCCGCTACATACATTTCCCCCTTCTTTTGTTTTTAAGCTACTACAAGTAAAACTTACACGTCAAGAATAAAGCTCTGCCTATTAAACAATAACAAGACAATGCCAATGCAAAACCAAACTACAGACATGTTAACATTTTAAAACTTGAACATCAAGAACAAAATTCTGGAATAATAACAAAACAATGCCAATGCAACACAGCAATGAGAGAGAAATAAAACTACAGACATGTTAAATGAAAGTTTCTACTAAATGAAAGTTTCTTCTGCTGGTGTATATTTACTCAGAGTCCTTGGACTTGGCTATGCAAGACTGGCAGCTAACCAATGCTAACGTAGCCAAAAACATGGTTGAGGGAGTAGCTTCCACTTCTTGCTTTTCTACCATCTACTGGGCTTCAGTTGTTAACTTCTTCAGCTGACCCCATGTTGCACCTCAGTCCCTTGCGTAGTCTTCGTTTTCTTCTTCCACTTTGCTGTCATCAGGGCAACTCAGTCTTTTGAACGAAGGGCCAGGAGCTTCTCTGGGTCCATTGTGGTGACGCATGTAATGCTCTGGCACCCAAATTGGCTGCACTACCCCTGGAAAGATACAAAACACAACCTCTTACCCACATCATTACTGAATCTGGTAAAACTCTTATCTGGTTTGTGCATCCTTCCACCCAGCTACCTTGACAGAGGCTATTGCACTGGAGGTCCGATGCCTTTCAGCCACTGTACAACTCTGCATTGTAATTCAAAAAATTTAACATAACATTCCTCTCACCCCTTTTGTGTTTTTCTAGTTGCATTTTAAGAGTAGGATTGGCGCTTTCTGCTATTGCCTGAGTCCTGATCTATCACCCCAGAAGAACTTGCCAATCCTGCGCTTCCCAGGATGGCATGATAAAGGTTTACTGAGCCAGCTGGAAAGGCTGCAGTGGGGTTAAGGATAAGGCACGTGCTTCACTGGAATGTCCTTTCACCTTGTAATTTAGTTCCCCCGAACTCAGGCCCCACGTTGGGCGACACATGAGCTGGGCCAGCCCAGCCAAGGGTTCAGTGAGCCTGAGGGAGGCATGG